CCTTGTGATAATTTTATCAGATTTTGATATGAGATTAAAATAAACTGGGAAGATTTCCATCTTTCTTTATGCTCTGGGACATTTTAAATTCCAAAAGAAATCTATAATTTCAGAGTCTAAAATAACATCCATAAAATCATCTGGTTTTGGCAAATTTGGGGGGATAATTATCATCTTTTTCAATTTTATTCAGAGTAGATCTTCTACATATTGAGCCAATTTTGGTTATTTATATATTCCATGCAGACAATCTATTTCATCAAGACATTTTAAGTCAGTTGCTTAAAGTTTTACAGAGAAATGGCTTCCAATGCTTAGCTCTTGCATCCCATCAGTTAAAAATATTGAGTGCTCACCCCAATTTACCTATTTAATACTTGTACACACACACTAGTTATTCTCATCGAGTACATGAAACAAATTTAGTGATAGAAAAAAATGTTATATTTAATACAAAGGCAAACTTTCAAAAATTTCTGGTTTTTAGTTCAATAATAAAACATCTTTTTTGCTCCTGTAAAATCATTTTAGGAGACAGAGCTCAGTGCAGCAGTTAAGACGCTGCTGGGGACACCCACATGTCGTGTTGGAGCGCCTGGGCTCAAGTCTCCGGATTCTAGCCTCCTGTGAATGAGCACCCTGGGAGGCAGCAGGTGATGGCTCAAGAAGTCAGGTTCTCTCTGGGACTGAGTTTCTGGGCATCTGGGGAGGGAACCAGCAGGTGTGCAATCTCTCCTTCTCTGTAGTGTCTCTTTAGGGTGCTCACAGCCCATTTCCCAGTGCCTGGGTTCTGGCCCCAGCTCTGCTGCCCATCCTAACTTCCTGCTCGTGGGAATGCTGGGAGGCTGCAGATGATGGCTCAAGTAGGAGACCTGGACTGAGTTTGCTACTCCCAGTTTCAGCCTGGCTCAGCTCTAGCCATGTGGGCATTTGGGGAGGGAACTAGCAGATGAGAGCTCTCTCTCTCTCTCTCTCTCTCTCTCTCTCTCTCTCCTTCCCTTCCTCCCTCCCTGTCAGCCTCACAAATTAATTAATTAATTTTTTAAATCTTGGTTTAATACTTTGTGATCATGAGTGAGCACAATTCTTTTTCCTAAATTGAATTTGTTTTGAATTTATTTTAAAAAGCTGCCCTAGCTATAAAGATATTTCACAAATCTACATAGATTCAAACTGTAAAAATAAAATGCATTATTGGCTGGCCTACTAAATCATTATATTCATTTTTCTCAGATGCATGCACCAATTTTGTAGATATTAGTTGCTAGATTAGGAAATATTCACCTTCCCTGATGCCAATCAGTTGGTCTTTTAAAATAATCAGAAGCTATTGAATCTTCAAATGACATTAAAAGCCACCAGGACTGTGTATTACAGGTGACAGGGCCAGTCAGATCATTTTGTGTTCATATTTTTGGAGTACAAATTTTATAAGCAACCCATGTTTGCAGAAACCAAAGTTGCAAACACGTCCAAACACTGATTCTCAAAATGTCTCTATAGCAGACGTTTCTTTCAAAAGTGTTTGCTTTGTGCTTTCTGGTCTTGAAAAACATCATCTTTATTGTTCTGCAGACTGTGCTAATATTTTTCAGCATGTGCTGGACGGATGGATGTTTGCTGACCACGTCTGTGAATGCTGGTTTCCATAAAGGAAGCATACGAAACTCACCAATAGCTGATCACTCAGCTGAAATTAAAATGGCTGTATTATACCTCAAGTTTAAATCTCATCTCCTGCAAGATGAAATAAAACCTGTGTACTACTACGCTCATTTGGAGGGGAGGGGTTGACATCTCACAATTTTCACCAAGAATTCATAAGTTTGTAAAGACATAACTTGCAGGATCTGATACCTAATGACATTTAAAAACATAAAGCTTAAATGATAACATATCCAATGACATCCTAAGACCAGAACACCACCACCATCACCACCACCACCCATTCTTAAAAAAATGTCAGTCAGATTTTATTTAAGGATGAGAAATTTTGTTTTGTTCCTTTTTTTCCTTAGACTATTCCCATCCCGATTAAAATGCTCGCTGCAGGAATTTATCTTATTATATATTTATTTTTGAAACTTGATATTACTCGCCATTTTTGCTAAATATTTGCATATAAATTGAAATATTAAGTTTTTAATTGCCTGTGAACATAAGGCTGTAAGTGTTAATTGCCTCCTAGATACAGCTATCACTGCAATTGTTAGTCATACATATTTAGTCAAAACATTATTACAAATTTTCATAAATAATTATTAAACAGAAATTTTAAGTTATTGGAAATAAAGCTCTTCATGAAGTAAATAGGACCGGGTTACTCTCATGTGTCCACAGATAAATATTACTCATAGCTTGAGAGAGATGGGTTTACATCCACACTAGTCAAATATTTCCTGTAACCAGGGATAAGCTCTGGGGATCCTTGTTCATAAATACAGACAGAAATGGAAGTTTTGTTAAATCAATTTTGCTCACTTTGTTTAACCACCTCTGTCTCATGACATTAATGTCTGATGACATTAATTTTAATAACCTATTTTTTGACACATCTAATTCATTCTTCAATTTTTTTAAAAGCAAAGAATGGCGATGTTACCCAGTCATTGGAGTTCGTTCTCTTAGGCTTTATTGAGATTTACCCAATGACGATTCTTTTAGCCTTTCCCATATAACCAGCAAAATTTCAGTGGCATTCAACGTAGGAGCAGCCACTTCCCTCGTTAGCAAGTGAGCCAGTCAAATGGGGTAAACCTGGTTCTGCCTACAAGTCAGTTCTTCTCTACTCCTTGTTCCATTCCGAAGTCCAGGAGGAGGTTGCCATGGCTACCTGGAGTGTGCTGTCTTGTGTCAGAAAAGCAATATATTAAACAGACTGGGAAGCTAAGAGGCATGAGGAAGCTTATGGGATGCTGGCAATGTTCTTTCGTTGTAAGACCTGAGCAGTGGACACACCGGTGGATGCTCTTGGTGACGATTCAGTGACCTGTGCATTTATGAGCCGAGCACCTTTGTAATCACATTATACCCCAAATGCGAGATTGCTCTTAAAGAAGAATCAAGAGAGTAAAATTGCTTCAAAACTTTTTGAATGTAATATTTTTATAATGATCCATTCTACCTTATAGGCTTTAAGTATATACTTTAATCAATATTATCAAGAGGGATGGATTTAAAACATTTAACTTCTGAACAGTGTCGGCTCTGAAACTCATTTAGCAAAGCCATTTCTTATTTCCAAATCTGTCAACTTAATTCAGATTTACTTTGCACCAGAAAAACACTCATCTGCCTATTCAATTCAAATAAATATGCTAATATTCATTTACAAATATTATAAATAACATTCAAATAAATATGTTAATGTTTTTCAACAATGTTATGAAAGCACTGCAAGATACAGTATGAAATATATTTTGTAATATAATGAATTAAGAGAAATTAAGATTAAAATTGTGTTCTTCAATATAATGAAATTATCCACTTTTCAAGTAAAAGAGCAAGAATAAATCTGTACACTGTCTTATTTTCTAAGAGTCAGTGTAGGCCGGCGCCACGGCTCACTAGGCTAATCCTCCACCTAGCGGCGCTGGCACACCGGGTTCTAGTCCCGGTCGGGGAGCCAGATTCTGTCCCGGTTGCCCCTCTTCCAGGCCAGCTCTCTGCTGTGGCCCGGGAAGGCAGTGGAGGATGGCCCAAGTGCTTGGGCCCTGCACCCCATGGGAGACCAGGAGAAGCACCTGGCTCCTGCCATCGGATCAGCGTGGTGCGCCGGCCACAGCGCGCTGGCCGCGACGGCCATTGGAGGGTGAACCAACAGCAAAAAGGAAGACCTTTGTCTCTGTCTTTCTCTCTCACTGTCCACTCTGCCTGTCAAAAAAAAAATTAAAAAAAAAAAGAGTCAGTGTAACACACAGATATACTATTACAAAGGGGAGAATATGATATGAATATATTTATTGAATGTGGGTGCATGCATTGAGCTTTGGTATTTGGTTTACGGAATAATTAACTGAAAATAATGTGTCAACATTCAAAAAACGTTTCATAGATTTTGTTCACATCATTAACAAACATTTTCTTCATTTAAGAAAAGAAACTTTATATACTGCTAAAACAATCATTATTCTAGTAGGTATCACATAATTAAATTTGTTAATAATAGGTGGATAGTATAAAATATTTTTAAGACATGACTTGAAAAAATAATTTCAACCACTCATTGAATAATACACATCAAGTGTAAAAAGAAAAAAAATCAGTATCACTTAAAAAGTCTGGATCCTGATTACTTTCCAGCAAATCACTAGCCTGTACTGAACACACCTGTCTTCCCAGTGACACCTCCTAGAGATGAGGAGCAAAAGTACTTACCTGTGAATAAAGACAAAAGAAGCAGTTCTCTGTTGTGGCCTGGGAAAGCAGTGGAAGATGGCCCAAGTTCACTGATTCACTCCCCAGATGGCCACAACGACAGGGCTGGGTCATGCCGGAGCCAGAAGCCAGGAGCGTCGTCCGGGTCTCGCATATGGGTGCAGGGGCCAAGCACTTGGGCCATCCTCCATTGCTTTCCCAGATGCATCAGGAGGAAGTTGGATAGCCTGGACAGGAACCAGTGCGAGGATCACAGGCAATAGTTTAACCCATCTACCACAATGTCAGGCCCTGTTTTCCATTCCTTAAATCAAAACATAGAAATCAATGTTCCAGTGTTTTACTTGTGTGCCCGCAGCACTTGAGAGAAAGCCCAGCAACTGTCGTCTTCTAAATCCTAATTCAATCTTCTTTCAATCTGTAATGAAGAACTTTTCAGCATTCTCAAGTTTAGGTGTTGGTGGCTGTGTTTTTGTTTTTCCTTACTGAACTTGGCACATACTTGTCAATTTTACTGGACTGATGGAAAACTCGTCTGGGTATTTCCGTTTTTCTATTCTGATGTCTCACTAAGTTCTTTTTTTTTTTTTTTTTTTTTTTTGACAGGCAGAGTGGACAGTGAGAGAGAGAGATAGAGAGAAAGGTCTTCCTTTGCTGTTGGTTCACCCTCCAATGGCCGTCGCGGCTGCCACACCGCGCTGATCCAATGGCAGGAGCCAGGTACTTATCTTGGTCTCCCATGGGGTGCAGGGCACAAGGACTTGGGCCATCCTCCACTGCACTCCCTGGCCACAGCAGAGAGCTGGCCTGGAAGAGGGGCAACCGGGACAGAATCTGGCTCCCCGACCGGGACTAGAACCCGGTGTGCCGGCGCCGCAAGGCGGAGGATTAGCCTAGTGAGCCACGGTTCCGGCCGACTAAGTTCTAAATTTAATATTCATTTCCTCTTCCTTTTCTTAGGTTGATGTGATATCAGCTTTTTTAGTTAAACATTGCAGTATTTTTTTCTGACTGAAAGATTTTAAAAGGCATTTAAGATTGTGTTATGGTATACTCGACAAATAAAAATTATATAGTATACCGTGCAGTGCGAGATTTTGATAACCATACGTACAGATACGTAGATAGTGACATGGTTGATAAAGCTGAACAACATAACCATCACCTCACACATTCTTTATTTTAAAGATTTATTTATTTTATTTGAAAGGCAGAGTTACAGAGAGGCAGAGGCAGAAAGAGAGAGAGAGAGAGAGAGAGAGAGAGAGAGAGAGAGGTCTGAGGTCTTCTATCTGCTGGTTTACGTTCCAAATGGCCTCAATCACCAGAGCTGCGCCAATCTGAAGTCAGGAGCCAGGAGCTTCTTCTGGGTCTCCCAAGCAGGTGCAGGGGCCCAAGGACTTGGACCATCTTCCACTGCTTTCCCAGGCCATAGCAGAGAGCTGGATCAGAAGTGGAGCAGCCGGGACTCGAACTAGCACCCAAATGGAATGCCAGTATTGCAGGTGGCGGCTTTACCTGCTGTGCCACAGTGCCAGCCCCTCACATATTCATTATTACGCCATGATTAGAACATGGCTAACATCTACTCTTAGTAACTGTCACATACACAATATGTGAACTGTTGTCACCATGCGATAAATCGGCCCCCTGAACTTGTCTGTCCTGTGTCACGGAATCTTTGTCCCCATTGGCCAGATCCTGAAGACACTTATTTATTCCACAGTGTACAGTTTGAGTTGTATTGATCGGAAATGTTTTCCTTATATCCATGTCCAAATACATTAATGATGTTTTAATCTATAATTGCATATGTAATTTTTTTGGACTCAAATCTTACTTAGGAAGATATTTTAATATTTCCGGGGGCTGGCGCTGTGGTTCAGTGGGTTAACGCCCTGGCCTGAAGTGCCGGCATCCCAGATGGGCTCCAGTTCTAGTCCCAGCTACTCCTCTTCTGATCCAGCTTTCTGCTGTGGCCTGGGATAGCAGTAGATGATGGCCCAAGTGCTTGGGCCCCTGCACCCACGCGGGAGACCCAGAAGAAGCTCCTGGCTCCTGGCTTCGGATCGGCGCAGTTCCGGCCGTTGCGGCCATTCGGAGAATGAACCATTGGATGGAAGACCTCTCTCTCTCTGTCTCTCTGCATCTCTTCTCTCTCTGTGTAACTCTGACTTTCAAATAAATCTTAAAAAAAATATTTCCGAATAGACTTCAAGGAAGAAGGAGAGAAGGAGGGGTTTTTTTAATTCTTTTTTTTTTTTTGGTTGTAAACCTTTTGTTGCACTTATAGCACTGTGATCAGAAAGTCTCTAGCCCACTTCTGCTTTGAAGAGTTTATTAAAATTGTTCTCACTGATATGGGGGAGAGTTACTGATTTGAGAAAGGCCCTGGAGTTAGGCTGAATTTCGCGTTCTTTCGCCCTCTGTCTAGGAATGGCATAATTCTTATCCCCAAACTTCTCAGAACCAGTATGGAATGAGCTTCCCCGCGATTTGCTGAAACCACCACTAGAGACGTCAGCCGTAGGGGCAGCAGAGTGAAGACTGCAGCTCACAGCCCCGCCATCAGCCAGGGTGTGGATCCTTGCGCTCGGAACAACAGGACGGGAGAGCCTCTGGCTGCCCTGGAATTGTCACTCTTGGTGACCAGGCAGGACAGCTGCACAGGGGTCTTCCCTGCGTGTGCCAGGCTGCACAGCCGTGACGGATGGACAACTGGGGTAAAACACTGGCAGCTAGTGCGACAGAACTGTTCACACCAGCCTGCCATCTCAGTTCCCCGTGGGCGGCGCCTCCCCAGCTGGGACGAGGGTTGGAGTTCACCAGCCTTGGAGGCAGCACACCCAACCACGCAGTCTACCTAGGGCTCCACTGCTCTCCAAAACAGCTTCACTCAAGAAAGTAAAATGCAGCTCTCCAAAAACACCTGCTTAAAATGTTGTGAACTGGTTATAAATTTTTTTAAATTTATTTATTTGAAAGTCAGAGTTACACAGAGAGAGAAGGAGAGGCACAGAGAGAGAGAGAGAGGGGTCTTCCATCTGCAGGTTCATTCCCCAGATGGCCACAACAGCCAGAGCTGCACTAATTTGAAACCAGAAGCCAGGAGCCAGGAGCTTCTTCTGGGTCTGCCATGTGGGTGCGGAGCCCCAAGGACTTGGGCTATCCTCCACCACCATCCCAGGCCATAGCAGAAAGCTGGATCGGAAGAGGAGCTGCCGGGACTAGAACCGGTGCCCATATGGGATGCCAGCACTGCAGGCGGTGGCTTTACCTGCTACACCAAAGCGCTGGCACCGAACTTTTGTTTTTAATCAGCTTTGTTTAAACCATTCCTTACCTGTCATCCATCCTGAGGGAAGAGTCATTGGGGAGGACAGGGGAGAGGAGGGGATGTGAGGGGAGGAGAAGAAAAACAGCTTGGGCTGGGCCAGTCCAAAGCCAGGAGCTTCTCCCACATGGCTGCAGGGGCCCAAGGACTTGGACCATTTTCTGCAGCCTTCCCAGGTGCATTATCAGGGACCTGGGTCAGAAGTGGAGTAGCTGGGACTGGAGCCTGCATTCTGATATGAGATGCCGGTGTTGCCGATGGCAGCTTAATCTGTCGTGCCACAACACCGGCCACCGGAGGCAATATACTCATTGATTATCATTTTAGTGACTAGCCTACACATTAGAGCAGGCTCTAGTACTAATAACCTTTATTTTCTTTCTGGAAAACACAAGAACAGCAGAACACTTAATTCATTTGTCCTATCCTCAGCCTCTTCCTTTTCTATCACTTTATATCCTTACTTTAATAAATATAATGTGCTCTCAAATCACATTGGCAACACAGATCAGGGATTTTGGAATACTCTTGTTTCTTGTAGTAAGTGAAGAAGTCGGTGAGGAAGAGGAGTTTGTTACTCCAACTTAGTCCCCTTTTGTGAACTACCAAATCTTTTCAAATACCCAGGGGGCTTTTTGTGATGTTGGTTGTTTCTGGCCTGCTTTTTCCCTCAGAGACATGCCTTTATTTAGCCAATATTGATACTGTACAGAGGTTTTACTGGATGCTCTGTGATTGCTTTGGTAGAGCGGAAGCAATTATTTCTCTTCTTGCATTCACAACCCTTTGCTTTATAACTTTGCAACTTCTCCCATCAAAATTTGGAGTCGATTTCTCTACTTGGCTGGCCTTATGATTTGCTTTGACAAACAAAATATGTCAGAGTCATGTACCATTTCCAAGCCAAGACCTCAAGAGAGCTTGTGCATTCTGGTTCTTTCTCTTGCGTTTGTTACAGCCACCAAATCCAGATCAAAGGAAGAGCAGGCTGGCCTGCTAGAAGAGAGACCTCGTGAAGATAAGAGGCAGCCAGCTGAGGTCATAAGCCAGCTTCCAGCCAACCCAGCAGCTGACCACACACAAGCGAACTCAGCCAAGACCAGAGAAGCTGCCCCGATAAACCCATCGAAGCTGCCAACCTGCAGGATTGTGGGCTCAATAAATGAGTATTATTCCAAGCTACTGGATTTTGGGGGTCATTTGTTATGCAGCAAAAGCTAACTGACACAGTCCCTACTCAAAACCCTTACATGCAGTAGAAAGGAGAGAGAAAAGGTGTAGATTCTTTTGTGTCGTCTTTGGCAGTTTAGAGTTCTAACACTCGGTGGGGTAGAGCAGCAATCAGGTGGCCTGGGAGCTCCCCCGTTATTCTAAGGCCGTAGTGAGGATAAGCTGACCTTATTCTCAAGTAGTGCTAATGCAGAGGTAGTTAGCAGAAAGTCAGTCAGCCGGAGAATAGCCTCCATTGAAGACCAGAGAAAGCCCATTCCTCCCCACGCTAGAGTCCATAGCACCAAGTACTGGGAAGGTGCGGAGGAAGGAAACTGAATCAAGGAGGGAGCACCCATCGCCCAGGAGCTGCCTCTCTGCAGGGTTCCATAAGGCGGAAGGACAGCAGCATGAGAGGAGGGCGGCGGCCAGTCCTGTGTGGACAGCAGGTGACGGTGGGGCACTCCAAGAGAAGAAGGAAATGACTTACTCTTCATCAAGCCGTCACAGAGAGTCTGATGGAATCCTCTTCAGCACAGATTTCCTCCTAGCAAACAACACACACACACACACACACACACTCATGCACACACAGCGACCGGTCGGTCAGTGAAGAAGCCGCACGTGCAGCGCTGGTCCCCTAAGATCACTTGGCCCCGTAGCCCTGCAGCCACCTTGCTTTGTGTGATGTCCGCACAATGACGCCATCACCCAAGGACACATTTCTCTGCATTCCTGGTGCTCAGCGACGCACAGCTGCACATGGTTATACCGATCCTGCTCGTGAGGCTAAAGCCATGTAAGAACATGAAACCTCGCCAGGCTGCGGCTCCCTTGCCCTACCTGTGTTAAACTCCACCATCTCTGCGTTTCCTACCCGTTCTAAAATTCCGTCGGACCTGGAACAAAGTGCTTTCATATTTTAAGTACGTAAGGAGACTTGTAGTCATTATTTTTTACAGCATATTGTTGGTCATACCCTTGCTTTATTTAGCATCAAGTCCTTGTGTGTAAGTGCAATAGCTAACTATGACCATGGGAAGATAGGATTTATCTACAGTAATATTTTTACAGGAGCTCTCAGAGGCTTTGTATGAACAAAATAGAGACTTTATGCATTAATAACATGTGGAGTAGAAATTCGGAAGAAATGCTAAGGAGGAATGGAACTGTTGGGACCAGTTATAAAATGAGGATAAAAGCTCTAGGAAGCTGTGATTATAAGTTGTAAGAAAAAAATTTTAAATTAACAAGACAAAAAGCAATGTTACCTTAAGTCTAAAAATGAGAGATATTGCAGAGAGAGGAATGAGAGAAAGAAATAAACTTTTTGTACAAATGTGTCTCATGATTTGGTTATGCAGGAAAAAAGGAAGTTTCAGATCTTGGTAGTCATCTTTAGTTTTGCCTGAATAAGAATAAAATCAGAAAGAAGTGAAACTTTGAAGTCATACTGGTAAGAACCAAGGCCTACTTGCATGCATAATGATTTCTGGTCTGCTCTAACTTCAGCAGAGCATAAAACCATAAAAATATATTCAATCATTATTATTCAGTACAAATAATGTTGAACCTTTGAAAGTGTTTTGATGACATTTCTGATACTTCTAAAGGTATAATTTAAATTCAAGTATATAAAATATTACTGAGTCCACATGTATATTAAAAGCAAGTGTGATGTAATTTTACATGTTCTCTCACTTCCTGCTGAACCCCGTCCTTCTCCCAATAGACTGCAAAGTCTGAGATTAAAGAAATTCAAGTTAAAATGTCATTTCACATTAAAACATAGTTTATTGATTTTTTCTTATTTCTGGACCCTGTAAGAAATCAAAAGATCTCTGACAACAGGCAGAAGGTAAAGGCAGCAGAAAATCACTAATATTTGGAATTCTTATGTTGAAAAAAAAAATAGATTGGCCAACATGTAATTAGTTAAAGGATACATTCCTAGACTGGATAATCTAGACATAAGTAAAACATTACACAAAGGAGGTGGACTCATTTTTTTTAATCAGACATATAGACTTTTCCTATCCTGAAGCATATTTGTGTCTGCCAGCAGACAAGCACAGGCAATTGCCTCCAGGTGTTTGCCTGCAGGAAGTCATTGAAATGCAGTGCTGGTAATGGCAGTTTTCTCAGCAGCAAAAACCAACCTGCAGGAACCTCATAGGCACAGGTATATTTCAGAATAGTAATGCCAGCCAGCAGACAGCCGTGACCAAGAATGCCCAGTTCAACAGTGTACAGATAAAGTAAAAATAAGTGAGAACATATTTTATAACTACTAACAAAAATTTAAGATTGAATCTTTTTCCTTAAATTTTAAAAATTTTAATTTAAAAAAATGTTTTACTCATTTATGATAACTACCCCATAAATATCTTTTTCACCCAGAAAAAAAAATGTGAGTTATAAGAATAATTACATTTGGGGCCTGCTGTGGCATAGCGGGTAAAGCCGCCACTTGCAGTGTCGGCATCCCATATGGGCACCGGTTCAAGTCCCAGCTACTCCACTTCTGATCCAGTGAAGAACCTTAAAAATCAAACCAAGATGGAGTGACCTAAGCCAATACCATTAGAAACAAGAAGTCACCTTTGCCCCAAATAAAAATTAAAGTTTAAAATTACAGCCCTAAACTTTTTCCCCCAAAGCTAAAATTAGGTGCAGCTATAAAATAAGGGACCCTATGCTTAGTTAGCTAGCTGCGACACTTGTGCCTGGCTGTACTAAGACCTAACCCAGTTTGTATACCTCCTAATACTCAAATAACGGTGTGGGAAGCGGGACGCCGCTCTCCCACCAGGGGAAAAAAGGGAGCGAGACGTCGTCCCCCCTCAGGGTGAACAAGATGGCGCTGGCAGGGAAAGGAACTGCTGAAGAAGTAAACAACAAAATGGCGACGAGGTGCATGCCTCTCATGTGATCCCGTAGCTGATTGGATAGAAGACGCATGCCCTTCACATGATCAGCTCGCGGATTGGACTGCTGTGTGCATGGACACTATAGTGCTTTTGATTGGTCGCTGCAGGTATATAAACCGTGTGGCTTTGTGCTGGGGGTGCTCTCTGGACTCCCGAGTTCAGGAGGCCCGTCTGCACAGACGCCGAATAAATCCTCTTGCTTTTGCATCAGCTGGTCTGGAGTCTGAGTCTTTGGGGCGCGCCTTTCGACGTGTTAGCATCCTTACTCTGAGGGTCTAACACCAGCTCTCTGATAAGGCTTAGGAAAGCAGTAGAAGATGGCCCAAGTGCTTGGGCCCCAGCAACCACGTGGGAGATCCAGAAGAAGCTCCTGGCTCCTGGCTTCAGATCGGCCCAACACTGGCCATTGCAGCCATTCGGGGAGTGAACCAGTGGATGGAAGCCTTTCTTCTCTCTCTCTGCCTCTGCCTCTCTGTAACTCTGCCTTTCAAATAAATAATAAATCTATTTTTAAAAAAGAATAATTACATTTTTCTTAAAGTTCTGTTTCTATGGGAGCTCATGCCTGAAAATAATATATTATTAGACAACAACCTAGATCTTTTTTCTACTGTGTATTAATCAGCTAGGACATTTACTTCAAAATGGCAGATTGACCATGAGAATTTTGCTAACTTCTACCGCTCAAGTGACAATAATTTTTTGAAAGACACAAACCTACCAAGACTAAATAAATAAGGAGACAACAGCAACAAAAGCTAGGGAGTTGGGAGCAGATCTGTGCAAGCTGCCTTCTCAGCCCATCGTGCAGAGAGCTGAGAAGTAGCTTAATCAGTTTTGAAAACCTTCAAATAAAGGTCTAGGGAGTGGGTGGGTATTGGGCACAACAGTTAAGATGCCATTTGCAACATATGGGGAGCCTGGATTCAAATCCCAGCTCCCATGCTGATCCCAGCTTCCTACTAGAGGCACCTGGGAGGTAGTAGTGCAGGTCCAAGTAGTTGGGTTCCTGCCACCCTCGGAGAGACCTGGGTTGAGTTCCCGGCTCCCACCTTTGGCCTAGCCCAGCCCTGACTATTGCAGCCATTTGGGAAATGAACCAGAGGATAGGAAATCTGTTTCTCTGTGTGTCTTTCAAACAAATGAGTAAGTAATTGAAAAAAAGAAGGCCCAGGAAGGGAGGTCATCAGGTACTTTTGGAGGTCCTGTGGCAGCTGGTGTTGGTTAGGAAGCCCCAGGACCTCCAGGTCTCCTCCCTCAGGCCGCTGTAACAAGTTGACCACTGACCCCAGCAGAAAAACTGAGATCTATTTCCTGGAAACAGACGCCCAGAGGCTACAGCGCTGAAGACAAGGGCACTGCCCTTGCATACTAAGTGCTAACACTGGCATTATTCCCTGCCCACTTGTGGCCTGGAACACTGGTTGCCATGTACACATCCCCCAGGCTGGTGATCTGCAGGTTTCTCGGGGAAATTAGACTGCCCAAGAGAAAAGATCTGACAATGCTGATTCTGAGAGCTCGACAAGGAAGAACAAACCCAGGTCAGCAGACACTGAAGTCCCTGGTCAACGAAAAGGAACCACACATTCCTCTTGCAATCAGCTTTGAGAGTGCCATTGGGAGTAGGACGAGGATCGCTCATCCCTGATTCCAGTGAGAGACTGAATATAAAAATATAAAAACTGAGAATAAAGCTCAAATACTAGGATTAAAACATTCAAATAAGAAAAAGATGCTGGTTTAGAAAAAAAAAGAATATTGTGTAGGTAAAGAACCCTTATAAAGTAAAGACAGAGTCACAGAAATGAAAAACTCAATAGAACAATTGGAAGAAAAATGAATTTTCCAAAAGAGGAGAAAAAATAGAAAATTGAGGATAAAAGATAAGAAAAACAGAGAACATGCCCAGGAGGTCCAACAGCCTAGGAGTTCTACAAAGACAGAAAATGAGAGGAAATCATCAACAGAATAACTCAACAATATTTTCCCAAATGACAGGAAATCATCAATGGAATAACAACAATATTTTACCGAATGACAGGACATGAATTTTTAGATCAAATTAAACCACCAAGAGGCCAGTACCAGCAATTATAATAAAAAAAATTAGCATCATTGTGAAATTCCAAAGCTCTGAGATAGAGAGAATGTGCTGTGACCTTCTAGAAAAAAGAGATTTCATGAAAGAATCAAGATTCAGGGTGGGATGAAATTAATCAGTAGCAATGCTGGAAGCTAGAAACAATGAGTTTAATGCCTTCAAAATTCTGTGGACAAAATCTTTCCAATCTATAATTCTCTAGCCAGCCAAGTTATAAACGAAGAGTGAAGGTAGAATAAAGACATTCTCCTGTGTACAATTTCTCAAATAATTTTTGTTTCCCAGAACTCTTTCTTAGTTCTTCTCTGGACTATCTGAAATGGCACTCCTGAAATGAGGGGGCAAACGCAGACAGAGGAAGCCTTGGGGTCCAGGAAATGGTGTCCCACATAAGAAACAGGGGAAGGCAACTCCCAGGAACATGGGGAACGTGACCTCTTGAAAAAGGACAAGTCAGGCCTAGCATGTGACTCCTGAGACTGTAGATCAAAAAGCGCTGAGAGAGCAATTCCATAAGACAAAATTTATTCTGTATCGAATGAGTTTGAGTGTAATGGTGAAATTTATCCATCTGAGGCTGAATTAATAAGTTTGTAGAAGGCCAAGCAAATATACAAACCAAGCAATTATTTTCTCTGGGGAAATGCAAAAGGGAAAAATGATCGTAGTATACTACATGGCTTAGCTATGAGTCCTGTCCCTAACAGCACACACAGTCATAGTGACAACGTACCCAACAAAATCTACATTCTCCACAGGCTCATTGGGGGATGGGCAATGAAAAGGGGCACAGAGGGAGTAGTGATGAAAGAGGGCCAGTGTCTTGTGTTTCAGAGTCAGGAGTCAATGGAGCCTGTCTAAAATTGTAGTCAAGTTAGCAACACACATACTTATGGTAGTTAGACATAAAAATGTAACCATTAAAGAACTGGTACAGACTTGAAAATATTTTCATCTAGGAAATGAGAAAGGAATGGATGTGGCAAGAAATTTTTTAATCTTTAACATGCCTTATCACCATCTGGCACTTTAAACTTTCATTTTAAAAATTATACATTAATTTAAAATACACACACAAGTTCAGGTAAAAATGATATGCTCCCGGGGTGGGCATTTGGTCTACAGGTTAAGAAATGGGTTATCTCTCAGCAAGGCACATCAGCATACCCTGGTTTGAATCCTGGCTCCACTCCTGATTCCAGCTTCCTGCTAATGTGCACCCTGGGAGGCAGCAGCTGATGGCTCAGGTGTTGTGTCTTTGCCACCCATATGGGAGACCTGGGTTGAGTTTGTGAATTTGGCTGAGCCTCAGCCCTTGTAGGCATTTGAGGAATGAGCCAGCGGAGCCAAGCACACACACTCTCTCTCTCAAATAAACAAAAATAAATAGACAATTTAAAAAAAAAAAGATTTATTCCAAAAATCTTTGGGAAAAAAACATTTCTACAGCAAATGAACTTCAATTAAACGGCCACTATGTGCAAAGTTCCATGAGAAGGGTGAATAGGGAGGAATATACCATGACATTCATCCTTCAGTTACTTACTAATGAACATGAAAGATAGGGAAACATGCTTTTACACCTTTACAGGAATAAATGAAAAAAAGGACTTGTGTAGAGCTAAAGAATCTAAACATGACAGTATATTGGGGAAAAAATTGATCAAAAAATTCTCCTGTTGAGTGTGGCAATTTGAATTGAGCACTGAAGAAAGAGGTATACCAGATAGTTGAGACAAACGTGAGAAAAATCATAGTTTCAAAGGTGGCAAATCTTTCAATAAACTAGAGAACAAGGAATGAAAATGCTAACTCCAAGAGAAACAGGAATCTTGAGGGCCTTGTTTATACATGTATTCCCAGCACCCAGAACATTCCCTGACATGTAAAAGATACTCAATAAACATTGGCCCAATGAATGGATTGGTAACAGAGGAGAGATAAGTTAGAAGCTGACAGATGGCCTTGAACTTTGTGTTAAGAAATTCAGAATTCACAGGTAAATAGGAAACTATTTCACAGAGAATTGCTATGGTTGCAATTTTGAAGGTTGATTTCAGAATAAATGGAAAACATGAGAAATGTCAGATCTTTTAGAAAGAAATGAAAAACAAAGGTCTGAGTTTTACCCCAGCCCCTAAATTAGAAAGAAAGAGACACAGGCCAGCTATTGTGGAAATTCCATGATTTTGTGGAAATGTACTAAATTTGGGGTTGGAAAATCTGAATTTAAATCCTGTATCTATCACTAAATGGTTGTCATCATCTGAATCCCTTTTATGATGCCAGTTTCCTCATACTGAGATCAGAAATTTTTAAAAAATATTTTGCCTGTGGTCAAAAGAGTCTCAGATAACTCAAGGATATGTAAATACAAAAAGGCATTCTAAATTAAAGTGAGAACAAAAGGGGAACATAAAGCATTTGTAGGAAGGAAGCTAGCAATCCAGGATCCTGCACACAGTCAGGTGGAGGCCTTTGCGAACTAAGAAGAGATGAATAAGCATTAGGTATAGCTGACCTCTGACATTTTGACTCAGTGGAAACATGAAAGACTTTGCCACCAGTGAGAGGAGAAGGCTTCATGCTGACACAGAAGGAATGGTTATAGATTAAGCTTTTACGAAGGCTGGTAGTCGAGAGAAAACTAGAAACAGGACAGGTTGAGAATACTGCCTCTGAAATGCTTGGGACCAGAAGCGTTTTGGATTTAAGAGTTTTTCCAGCTTCGGGAAGATGGTGAGATATCTTGGGGATGGGACCCAAGTCTAAATCTGAATTCATTTATTTTTGATACACACTTACACATAACACGTATAATCTGGAGGTAATGTTATGTAATATTTTTAATGTGTTTGAATTTTGACGGAGACCCATCACGTGTGGAATCTTCTACTTGTAGCATCATGTTGGCACTCAAAAAGTTCCAGATTCTGGAACATTTCAGATCTTGGATATTCAGATTAGGGATTTTAAACCTGTATTTATTGGGCTAGGAAACCGAGTTTAAGAGAAGTTCTATTGAATCTAGGTGGACTTAAGCAGGTATCAAGTAGGAGAAACAAGACTCTATGGAGTAGGAGAGAGAGAATAAAGAGAGCAGAAAATGGACGGATAAAGCCCTGGCAGAGACAAAAGGCCACACACCTGAGGAAGAGGGAGTTGGCCTCAGTGGAGAACAGATCCCACTCCAAGAGCGGGAGAGCCAAGGGAGGAACAGCGAAATAAAGTAACGGCAGCATCAGGGAGTTAAGGAATTTCCAGTGCGATAGCATATTAGTACGTTTTCTGTTATTAACAATACAATGCTATAGATTGGGTAAGTTTGAGGGAAGAGAGGTGTATTTTGGCTCACAGCTCTGGATGTCCAAGGTCAAGGGGCCACATCTGACTGGCAGTCTTGAGGTGGTGCAAGGCGTCAGGTGTGACAGAGCAGGGAGCATGTGAGTATGTCTGTGTGGGTCTCTCTCCCTCTTCTTATAAAGTTCCTGGGATTTAATCGGGGGTCCAGGGGGTTCCACCTGAATAGTATATTTCAAGGGCAGGGATACAGAGTCAACCAGAATGAGAACAACCATCAGATGCAAATTTCCCCAACACACTGAGAGCAAAGAAACACATTAACAGATCACAGTTATCACGTGCATAATACATTATTCTTGTTGAGTAGTTGGTCATATAATTTATTTGATTTTTAAAATTTTTGATGAATACCCAAAGCTTGTACATTGTTAAGGGGAACAGTGGTGATATTGAGCATTTTATTCATGCGTTTGTTGGTGTTTATATTTCTTCTTCTGGGAAATGTCAGATCCCTTGCTCTTTTTTAATATAGACATCTTTTTTAAAAAATTTCTAGGGGACAATGCTGTGGCATAGTAAACTAAACCTCTGCCTGCAATACCAGCATCCCATATGGGCACTGGTTCAAGTCCCGGCTGCTCCAATTCTGATCCAGCTCTCTGCTATGGCCTGGGAAAGCAGTGGAAGATGGCCCAAGTCCTTGGGCCCCTGTACCCACATCAAAGTCCTGGAAGAAGCTCCTGGCTCCTGGTTTCGAATCTGCCCAGCACTAGATGTTACGGCCATTCGGGGAGTGAACCAGTGGATAGAAGATCTTTTTCTATCTGTAACTCTGCCTCTCAAATAAATAAATAAAATCTTTTTTTAAAAAAGATGTCTCTACCATTTCCTTAAAAAATGTTTATTTGGGATTGCATTGTAGCTCAGCCTGCAATGTCAGCAACTCTTATTGGAGTTCTGGTTCGAGTCCCAGCTACTCCACTTCCCATCTAGCTTCCTGCTAATGTGCCTAGGAGGGCAGCCAATGATGACCCAAGTGCTTGAGCCCCTGCTGCCCAAGTAGGAGAACCGGATAGAATCCTGTCCTCCTGGCTTTGGCCTGGCCCAGAATTGGCTGTTATGGTCATTTACAGAGTGGACTGGTAGGTGCAAGAATGATCTCCCTCTCTCTGCCTGTTATGTTCTGCCTTTCAAATACATAAATAAACCTTCAAAAATACTTTTTTATTTTTATCTGCTCAAAAAGCAGAGATACAGAGAGATTTTTCCATTGGCTGGTTCACTCCCTAAATGCCTACAACACTGAGGCCTGGGCCAGGCTGAAGCCAGGAGCCTGGAACTCCATCTGGGTCCCCTATGGGTGGCAGGGATTCAAGCACTGACCCAACAAATTTGGCCTCCCAGGATGCATTAGTAGGGAGCTGGATCAGAAGCAGAAGTGCCAGGACTCAAACCAGTGTTTCAGTGTGGAAAACCAGGCATCACAGTGGCCATTTAACCCACTGTGCTGCAACGCCTGTCTCCCTTTGCACAGTGCTTAACTGAAATGCTTGTTTTCAGTGTTTGTTGCTGTTTTTCAGTTTCTTATAAATTCTGGATATTAATCCTTTGTCAGATGCATAGTATGCAAATATTTTCTCTCATTCTGTTGGTTGGGTGTCACGTCACTTTGTTGGTTGTTTCTTTCACTGTGCAGATGCTTCTTAGTTTGGTAGAATCACATTTGTCTATTTTTGCTTTCATTGCCCATGCTTTTGGAGCCTGATGGGAAAAAAGTCATTGCCTGTGCAATGTCTTTAAATGCTTTCCCTGTTTTCTTCTAGTAGTTTCACAGTTTTAGGTCTTACATTTGGATCTTTGATCCATTTTGAGTTTATTTTTATAGAGAGTGATAGTTAAGGGTCAATAGATAGCCAGTTTTCCATCAATATTTACTGAAGAGACTTCTCTTTATCCAGTAAATGCCCTTTCCCCAGAATATGCTTTTGGCACCGTTGTCAAAGACCATTTGTCTGTAGATCTGTGTGTATTAATTTATAATAAATCTATTCTTGAAGAGTTGTGATTTAAAATATATGATCTAGCTGGCACTGCGGCTCACTAGGCTAATCCTCCGCCTTGCGGCGCCGGCACACCGGTTTCTAGTCCTGGTCGGGGCGCCGGATTCTGTCCCGGTTGCCCCTCTTCCAGGCCAGCTCTCTGCTGTGGCCAGGGAGTGCAGTGGAGGATGGCCCGAGTACTTGGGCCCTGCACCCCATGGGAGACCAGGAGAAGCACCTGGCTCCTGCCATCGGATCAGCGCGGTGCGCTGGCCGCAGCGTGCTGGCCACAGCAGCCATTGGAGGGTGAACCAACGTCAAAGGAAGACCTTTCTCTCTGTTTCTCTCTCTCTCTCTCTCTCTCTCTCTCACTGTCCACTCTGCCTATCAAAAAATAAAATAAAATAAAATAAAATATCTGACTAGTCTTTATATGCTATCACTGTATTACAAATGAGGAAGTTGAAGCCAAGAAAGAAATATGTTGCCCAAGATGACGGGGCAGGTAGGTTCTTATCTTGCATACTAAGAATTTTAAGAATTGTCTTTGGTCAGTAGGGAAAGGACATCATGTTATTTCACTTATGAAATAGGTATTCTTTCTTGGATAGTTTGTTGGACATCAACAAAGTTGAAAGTTTCGCAGGACTGACATAAAATCAAATTGTCCAAAATGAAGTTTGGGTTTGTAGTATAACATGTCTACCTTGCAATGAATGAATGTAAGCTTCTAGCAATTGGATAGAAAAAAATTTTCTAAAGAGACTGTATTGGGGCCAGCGCTGTGGCACAGTGGGTTAAAGCCCTGGCCTGAAGAGCTGGCATCCCATATGGGCATTGTTTCAAGTCCCGGCTGTTCCTCTTCCGATCAAGCTCTCTGCTATGGCCTGGGAAAGCAATAGAAGGTGACCCAAGTCCTTGAGCCCTGCACCCACAGGGAAGACCCAGAAGAAGCTCCTGGCTCCTGGCTTTGGATCAGCACAGCTCCAGCCATTGCAGCCATCTGGGGAGTGTACCAGTGCATGAAGACCTCTCTCTCTGTCTCTACCTCTCTCTGTAACTCCGTATTTAAAATAAATAAAATAAATCTAAAAAAAAAAAAAGGAGAGAGGCCATACTAACACCAATTAAGTATTAAACATATTTAAATTTTTCTGTTGGCACATAGCTTGGACTCACACCAGCACTCCAATAAGAGTTGCTGGACATTGCAGTCTGAGCTATAGTGCGACCCCAAATTTTCATAGGAATTATAGGGTAAAATTGCACTGAGGAGGCAACGATTTCTTAAATGGCATATACAACATAAAATAAGATACAAAACTTCTTAAAAAATAGACTGAATCTTTCAGAGCAGAATTAGGTTTACAGGAAAGATCCCGAGTGCTCCCTCTGCCAGCCCTCACTGAATGTTTTTACACCAGTGTGGAACATTTGTTCCCTGAGGTCCATGGGTCACATTAGACTTTACTCCTTGAGCTGCACAGTTCCATGGAACCCACTGCCTTTTTAATTGTATCATCCTGAAAATTATTTTGATTTCCTGGCTTATAAATTGAAGAACACATTTAAAGGACTAAGTAATCATTTAGATTTTGGATTTGTGGAACTGTGTCTAGCCAGGATTGCAAATAAATCATGGATAATTTCCTGGGCTGGTGCTGTGGCACAGTGGGTAAAGCTGTTGCCTGCAATGCTGGCATCCTATATTGGAGCGCTGGTTCAGGTCCCAACTGTTCCACTTCCAATCCAGCTCCTTGATAATGCACCTGGGAAGGCACTGGAAAATGGCTCAAATGCTTGTATCCCTGCCACCCACACGGAAGACCTGGGTGGAGTTCCTGGCTCCTGGTTTCAGCCTGACCTAGCCCCTAACTTTGTGGCCATTTGGGAAGCGAGACAGCAGATGGAAGATCTGTGTCTATGTCTTTTTCCTCTCTCTCTCTGCCGCTCTGCCTTTCAAATAAATAAAAATAATTCTTAATAAATAAATAAAGATAAAAGGAGTTTGTGCGTTTTACACTACTTTTTGAAAATGTACCACTCAGTAGCCCCTAGTCATATCTCAGTTTGCCCTCAGAAAAGCAATATAAGAAAATGTGTCCATTTTAATTGTTACTGAAGTGCATGCAGCAAGGTTTTGGGGCAAGGGAAACATGATTCTGGGAGAGTTAACAAAATTATATAACACAGACGGAGAGCACAAAATGCACAGATTGATGTTTCAAATTGATAGTGTCCAGTAAATGCAAGGACCTCAAACATGTTATCTCAGGCCGTAAAGAGTCTAGACTATATCATCCAAATGTTGTAGCTGAAGACTGCTGAGGTTCGGGTCAGAAATAAGAAGGGATTTTGGACAGGCTGTCTCAGGGAGGTCAGAATAAAAAGGAACAGAAGGAAGGAGCCCATGGAAAGAGAATGGACTTCAAGGGGAGAAAGCGTGAAAGTGAAGGGGTGCTGGCGCCGTGGCTCAATAGGCTAATCCTCTGCCTGCGGCGCCAGCACCCCGAGTTCTAGTCCCGGTTGGGGCGCCAGATTCTGTCCTGGTTGCTCCTCTTCCAGTCCTCCTGGCTTCGGATCGGCGCAGCGCATTGGCTATAGCGGCCACTTGAGGGGTGAATCAACGAAAGGAAGACCTTTCTCTTTGTCTCTCTCTCTCACTGTCTAACTCTGCCTGTCAAAAAAAATAAATAAATAAAAAGAAAGAAGGAAAGTGAAGGGGTTTACGTTTTCTATTATCACCAAGGACCAGAGTGGAAAACTCAACCAGTCTCTGAAGCAGGACCAACAAAGTCACAGGCATTTTAGCACAGCATGGACTTCAGTGAGCCATCCCAGCACAGTCACTTCACAGGTAGGAACCAAAACACAAGGAGGTGTCAATGCGAGTGGCAGAAGACTCACTAACACTTCTTACCCAAACCAGAATGAAACAAAAGTAAACTATGTACAACAATTAACAGACCATGAAGCTCGTTTCCCTGGAGTGAGAGTTCAAGGGTAACATCCAGAGTTGGTTATTAATTAATGATGGAAACTCGGGGTGGGGGGCTAAATAGTATACTAAGACAGAGTTGTCTGTCCTAACCAATCTACACCAGAAGATAGAAAAAGTGTAAAAAAAAGGGCAGCATTTAAAGAGAAGGACATGAGGAATGAGCTAACAGAGTATTCCAATTTTATTTTAGGTACAATATTATATTAGGTGCAGGATGTGGAGGGGCAGGGAGGGTAAAAGCAGGCCATGATTAGAACGGGAGCAGGGAGAACAGAAGCACAGACTGACTGTGTGCACAGTGGTGCAGCCCTGTGGCAGGAGTGGAGTCCTCACTGGGGGAAGCAGCCGGAGGCAACGCTGGGACTGCAGACTCTGCTCTCACTGAGACTTGAGCGTCAGCTGGGGAACACGAACTTCACCTCCGAGTCAGGGCGGAGCTACTGCGTCTTTTCCAGAAGGGAGTTATATGATGGGAGCATTGTTTTTAGGAGATAATTAGGCCGGCCTGACTGATTAAAAGGTGCCAGGATGCTTGGACTTTTGTCAAGTTCATGTCATGGTGGACAACTGTGCTCTCCCCAGACCCCTTCGACGTTAACACTTGCAGAGCTCAGCTGCCCCTGGGGCCATCTGTGGAGCAGTTTTTGTGAAATGGGAAATGGGACATACTCATAGACTCACTTTCCATCTTTGGCAAATCTTTTGAAGAGGAGTGAGGAAAAATTTTTAAAAATGTCTCGCAGTAGTCCTCCACATCCTGGGAAAATAATAATGAAATCTCAAATATTCCAAATGTGAGAAAAAGGCAGTTGGAGCTGAGTAAACGGCAGGATGGTGTTGGCTAAGAGAAAACCTGAGAGAATTAGAAAGGATGCTGTCGAGAATGATGTCAGAACTGTGGGCTACGCGTGCTTGGAAAGGGATGGTTCTGATTTTAATTAGAGACTCAGTTCAAGAAGGATCAACAGAAACTAGTAGGAGAGAGATGGCGTAGTAGTCTCCATCCAAATAACTCAATGCAAATGTAAATGTTAATGAAAGTCAGCAAAAGTGAATTTAAGAGGGCATAAGTGCCAATCACCATGCCTACAGAACTTTTAAAAATTGTCCTATGTTTAAGAATAGGCTGTCCACTTGAAAGAAAGAAAGAAAGAAAGAAAGAAAGAAAGAAAGAAAGAAAGAAAGAAAGAAAGCAGACCAGTAGAATGGCAAGGAGTTTCAAGTATGGAAATGACTACTTACTTAAAAGCATCCAATTCCATGCAAGGGAGGGGAGGCTGGAGGCAACGGTGTGAAGAGACATAGAAGCACGACATAAAGGAGATACCATTCATGGGAGGAGGGTAGAGAAGGGAGCTGCTTGCTTACATATTTATAGACGTATATACTTCTTAAGCACTCATGGCTCTCTATCAGGCTTCCCTAGGAAGTAGATGGTCATTTTCACCCATATTACAAATAAGGACACTGTAAAATGTCCCTTAGTGCTTTAGCACATTAAGCTTATGCTGCTAATTAGCAATATATCTATGTTGGAACTTGGCCATCGTAAGAAGCATTAGCATTTCTTTCTTTTTTTCCCAGAACCTTTAATTTAACCTAACATAATGATTTCTTTGATTTAACTGTGACACAACTGTTCAATACAGCTCGATAATTTCTCAGTATGGCCAAGTATTTAGATTACCAGATAAAAATCCAGAAGCTGCAAGGAAATAGTAGCAACAAGAAATGCATGGAACTGGTGCTGTGGTGCGAGAGGCGAAGCCGCCATCTGCAGCACCAGCATTCCTTAAGGACACTGGTTCGAGTCCCAGCTGCTCCACTTCCAATCCAGCTCCTTGCTAATGCACCTGGGAAAGCAGTGGAAGATGGACCAAGTGCTCGGGGCCCTGCACCCAAGTGGGAGACATGGAAGAAGCTTCTGGCTCCAGGCTTTGGACTGATCCAGCCCTGGCTGTTGCAGCCATTTAAGGAGTGAACCAGAGGGTGGAAGATTCTCACTTCTCTCTCTCTTCTTCTCTCTCTATAATTTTTTCAAATAAATAAACCTTAAAAAAAAGAAATCCATACTCTTCAACAGCTGCTAATAATTCTGTTCCACCCTAGATTTTCTCATTTACATACTGCCCAATCTTATTTTGTGGTTCTTTGAATTTATAAGAACAGACACAAGAAAATGCTGTGTTGTGATTTACTGCAGACCAGTGGCTTGACCTTTTAAGAATATGAATCATGGACCATTGTCATAAAATAACATGTTTGGAGACTTTTTTTGTACAATAATTGGCTTGGAGTAAGTCATCTTATTCTTAATAAGAAAACAGAAGTTTTTATAATAAGAAATTTCACTAGAGATTTGAATGAAAGAGAGGTGTAAATCTGTTTACAGTATGTCAAAATGGATACAAGATCACCAGTTGTTTTGAGTTTATTTCTGAAATGATTACTGAGACAGTTAAAGAATAGATCTGAGGAAAATTTGCAAGTTCTCCATCCTCCTCCTCTGACTCAAACTTTAGGTAATAGAAAACTACGCTTCTAGAAGAATAGAAATAGCAGGAAAATGTCTGCTCTACCTTTCTGGAAATCACTTTGTTTTGTTCCAGAAACAAGAAGGGTGGACTGTGGAACTTTCTGGAGAACATGGTTACAGAACTGTTGTGTGATCAGAACCCAGGAGGGAGGGACTGTTTTGACTTCCTTGTTACTATGTGAGGGATGGAATTTTGCGACCAGAAGGTTCCACAACAGTTGGGAATGACAGTTGTATGAGTAGCAAACAAAAGACAAATGTGTGTGTCCTGTTACTCCTGCTCTGAGCTACAGAGCTCAACTGTGCCAAGATTTCCTGCTTGCATCAATATTTTTTATAATTACCAAAGCTCATGTGTGTAATCCATTCACAGGAAAAAAAAATCTTAGAAGTGCGCTCCGCACGGTCTTTAGGTTAGGCAACCATCTGGCTAGCTGATGTACCCTGCATACACACACACAGAGAATCTTCTTTAAATGCCTTATTGTAACCTTTGCCCCACTTTCAATCATCTGTCACACATCAAGCTCCACCTTCTTTTGCAGAAATGCAAATAGCTAAAATTTAAAATGCAGTCAAATGTGTTCAAGCTTACCCTCAGCAATTATTGTCCCATCATGGGCGAGGGGCGTGCTCTGATCTTTTTATTCTCTTGTTGCTCCTTTTCCTTGTGAATGAATATTCCTTTTCATCTTCTTGCATCTGTGACGGCCGTCCTGTGGACTGCTCTTTCTGCAGCTTCCTCCAGCTTGGACTTGGACTGTGCTGGCTTGGGTCCCTTTCTACAGATCCCCCTGGACATTCGGGCACAATGGCACCTACCCTGAAAAAACAAAATGCCTGTTAAGTTCAAAATTTGCAAATTTAACCACGGGCTTTTACAAAAAGAAAATTGGATGAAACAGCTTCGCACAGCACAGGATGTAGGGAAGGGATGGATGGAGGACTGAAGAGTTGTTTACCAAAAGCCCAGAGCTTACAAAACCTCTCAGTTGCAAAATCTGATTCCATGAGCAGTCATCTGGGGAAAGCTGCTTGGAGCCCCACAACATACTCAGAGAGGGAGTGGCTGCTGAGTCCGGGGCATGGCAAGGTTTGGGGAAGCAGAAACCCGAATGTAGGAAGTAGATACTGGGAGTGAGGAGGTTGCAAAAGCTGGTGGAGCTGACAGTTGATTGACAAGGAGGAAAGCAATGTTGTCGAAGGAAAACTCAAAATACTTTCATGTTCCACTGACACCTGTTGCCTGCTCCACACACCTGACGAATCACCTGCTGATACTAAACCTCCATCAATATGGATACTGACCCCATTAAGCTAAAAATATGCCCAGGAGAAGATCTCCTTTATGTATACTTTGATATTTCAAGCATTTGTGGAAACACGGAATATAAGCATGTGCTTCTTGTGCACACCTTTTGGAACCCAGGCAGTTTTTTCATGATACACATTTTCCCAGGAACTTTTTGAAGATCCACTTAGGAGTTGATTTCCAAAATATTTTTGCACAAAAAAATGAATCTATCTCTTATTTCCGTTTTCTACAAGCTTTTTGAAGTATCCTCATATATACAGATATATATTAAAATATATAACACACATATATTTGTATACATACATAGTTACATATATTGTGGATGTATATATTTTTAAAAAATGTATTTATTTATTTGAAAAGCAGAGTTACAGAGAGAGGGAGAGAGAGAAAGATGATGGAGAGAGAGAGAGTGTGTGTGTCTTCCATCTGCTGGTTCACTCCCCAAATGGCTAAAATAGCTGGGGCTGGCCAGGCCAAAACCAGGAGCCTGGAACTCCATCCTGGTATCCCACATAGGTGCAGGGGCCCAAGTCCTTGATCCATTTTCAGCTGCCTTCCCAGGCACATTAGCAGGGAGCTGGATCAGAAGTGGAGCAGCCGATAGTGGACCTGGTGCCCCTAAGGGATGCCAGCATCGCAGGCAGAGGATTAACCCACTGAGCCACAGTGTCAGACCCAAGTCTATTTTTCATGTGCATTTAGACATATAAATATAATTTTTTAAACTTGAAATCCTAGTTCTACTAGAGGTACCATCAAGGAGAGAATTAAATCTTAAAGAAAAGAAGGGGAACTTAAAGAAAAACACTATGTGCTTCATAACTGTGTTCAGGCCCCACCTGCCTTCCCAGATCCTATCCTGCTACAGATGGGAATATAAAGAGAATCTCAGACTCACCGGGAGGCAGGATGGCCTGGGGGTTAGGCCATGGGCTCCTCTACAGACTGTCAGGTCCCGGTGAGGCCATTTCTGGTTATATCTCGGTCCTGACACTTAATTTCTCAGATCCTGAGTTCCTTCAACAGTAAGACATGGATTATATCAGTACCTGTGTTAGCAGGCTATTGTTTCTTAAAACAAGCTTCCTTTTGGAATAATTTTACATGTACAGAAAAATTTCAACGATTGTACAGAGAGCTCCATACATCCTCTTTCCCTCATTGTTAACATCTTACGGTACCGCGAGACATCTGTCAAAAATGAGAAACTGACACTGGCCTGTTATTATTAACTGGACTCCAGACTTTATTTGGATGTCGCCCATCTTTTCCATTAGCTTCCCATCCAGGGTACATGTGTTACATGGATTTGTCAGGCGTCCCCTGGATAAGTCCCTGGAGACTTCTTTCAAGGCTTAAATGGCAACAAATGTGTGACACTCTTAGCAGACTGCTGGGCGTGGAATAAGGGGTTTGTCAGCACGCAGCCATGCAGTCGCAACCGTGAACACACACTGTTTTAATCAGCACTTCTGCAGCATCGGCTCAGCGTATCACGGCAATCCCGTCAAGATCCCAGTTGCATTCATTTCAGAGATGAGAACACTGAGGCACAGGAAAGTCCAAAGCATTTGTCCAAGATTATGCAGCCGGCAGAGCTAGGCTGCCACCCAGGCCTGCCGGCCCCTGAGTGCTTGCTTTGATCACTGTGGTACCTCGTGGTAAATGCTGACAATCTGCCAAGGATGAGCTTTCTCCAGGCCAGTGGGGATACCACTAACCAGTTTTTTGTTGGTGCCATCGCTTACTGAGCACATGCCTGCTTTTTTTTTTTAATTAAAGACTTATCTTTATTTATTTGAAAGACAGAGTTACAGAGAGAGGTAGAGACAGGGAGAGAGAGGTACTCCATCTGCTGGTTCACTCCCCAAATGGCTGCAACCACCTGAGCTGAGCCGATCCAAAGTCAGAAGCCAGGAGCTTCTTCCAGGTCTCCCACATGGGTGCAGGTGCCCAAGGACTTGGGCCATCTTGTACTGCTTTCTCAAGCCATAGCAGAGAGCTGGATGGGAAGTTGAGCAGCTGAGACTTGAACCCGTGTGGGATGCCGGCACTGCAGGCCAGGGCGTTAACCCACTGAGCCACAGCACTGACTCCTTGCCTGCTTTTTACCCTCTTTCATTCAACAATTTTAGCAACACGGGGTGAAAAAAAAATAAGGTAAAGAATGTGCACTACATTAGCCAGGAGCACTTGGCGCATTGCTTCTCTTATAGATCACTTTTTTTTTTTTTTGACAGGCAGAGTTAGACAATGAGAGAGAGAGACAGAGAGAAAGGTCTTCCTTTTCCATTGGTTCACTCCCCAAATGGCCACTACGGCCAGCACGTTGCGGCCGGCACACTGTGCCGATCCAAAGCCAGGAGCCAGGTGCTTCTCCTGGTCTCCCATGGGGTGCAGGGCCCAAGCACTTGGGCCATCCTCCACTGCACTCCCGGGCCACAGCAGAGAGCTGGCCTGGAAGAGGGGCAACCGGGACAGAATCCGGCACCCCGACCAGGACTAGAACCCGGGGTGCTTATAGATCACTTTTTAACACTTATATTGCCTTATTTTTTCCCACTTACATTTGCTCCCGCCCTCCCTGCCTTTGTTCCTTCCTTCCTGCCCTCCACGTAAAATGCTTAAGCCAGGAAACCTCCACGAAGCTGCAGCAGAGGAGAAGCTTTCTTCACACTAGGAGCAAAGGGCAGGGCAGCTGATGCTGAGAATCACGGGAGGACATAAAAAGGAAAAAGATTTGGGGGCAGCAAGAAGGGGAGAGGAGGATGGGCTGGTATTCTCCAGCGCAGCTCTGCCAGCAGCCAGCCGGCGGCATTGTAGAATACACGCGACTGCTCCGGTCCACAACGCGAGCAGGTCATTTTTCATGATGCTGTCTGATGATAGGTCACTTCTAGGCCAAAAATGTCAAATAAGGGGTTTAATGAAACGAGGTGAAATCAAGGAAACAGTGGAGATGAAAAGCGTAGGAACTAAACTGAAGAGTAGGACTCAGAGTCCAACATTCATTCAACAAACATTTATTTCAACGCTGTTCTAGAGGGTCGGGACATAGAGGGGAACAAAACAAGGCCCCTCTTCTCACGGCTCTCATACTCTACTTGAGCAATAAGAAACATGGAAACCAATAAAAACCAGGCCAGCTCTCTGCTGTGGCCCAGGAGGCAGGCAGTGGAGGATGGCCCAAGGGCTTGGGCCCTGCACCCGCATGGGAGACCAGAAAAGGGTCATGGACAATGAGAATCATGAAAAAGCTATGTTCAGATTTCCAAAAATTTGCATCAAAAGAACCTTATTTATTTATTTTTTTTTGGCAGGTAGAGTTATAGACAGTGAGAGAGACAGAGAGAAAGGGGCCTTTCTTTTGGAAACTCCTGGATGTAAATTAACTATTATCCTGTCTAATGTGTGGATTTCCTCTCCCCAACCCATACAGTCTTTCTCATCACCCTGGTAATTTCCTTTATAACATCTAACACCCTACAATTTTTTATTGGTTTCCAGGAAGAAGCACCTGGCTTCTGGCTTCAGATCAGCGCAGTGCAGGCCGTAGTGGCCATTGGGGGGGGTGTCTTCCTTCTGTTGGTTCACCCCCCACCCAGGCCACAGCAGAGAGCTAGACTGGAAGAGGAGCAACCAGGACTAGAACCTGGCACCCATATGGGATGCCAGCGCCGCAGGCGGAGGATTAACCAAGTGAGCCATGGCTCCAGCCCCCAAAAGAACCTTATTTTTAAATTCCACTTTCCCAGAAACTTTTTGAAGTGTTTTGGTATATTCCAGTTGTGAGTATAATGGGGAAATGGAGACCCTTAAATCCTTCAGTAATCAATAAAATGGCTGTATTTACAGCACAACAAATGTATACACCAAGATGGCTTTGCACAGGAGGTTTGAGAACCATTAAGTAGGAATGTTAAAGAATAGAACATGCAACAATATTTTAAGATGCCTGTAGGCGTAATTCTTCGGGGAATCAGAGATTAGAATGAATTCCTTTTGGAACTCCAAACACCTGACCAAGCCCCTCTCCTAGGGTGGCATTAACACCACCTATAATTCCATGGAAAATACTGTTTGCCCTGGATTGAACTGCTCCACCGGCCCTCCCTTCTCTGACACAGGCTCATATGCAGAAGCCCTAACTCGTTGTGTGACCATACCTGGAGTTGGCATCCAAAGAGGTAATTAAGGTTAAATGAGGTCGACACGGCAGAGGCCTGATTCCATAGAATTAGTGTCCTTACAAGAAGAGATACCAAGGAGCTACCCCCTCTATCTTTCTCTGTCCGCAAACACACCCCACACCCAGGAAATGCCAAGCAAAGACCCAGTGAGAAAGCAGTCGATCTGCAGACCAGGAAGGGAGCTCTCGCCAGAAACTCAACCTGCTGAAAACTTCATCTAGGACTTCCCCAGAAGTGAGGGGAAACAGGTGTCTGCAGTTTGAGCCCCCGTCGGTGGTGTCTGCTCTGCCATGGGCGCTGACGAGTGGGCTGTTGCACACTGCTGCACTGTCCCACACCACTGGGCCACGGGAAAGGCTGCAGTTTTTCCTGCATGCTGCTGGCTGCCCAGGGGGCTGCATGAGAACCTGGCTTACAAGGAATTCTTTGAGGAACTGTATGTGTCACTTCCATCAGCCAGGTCCAGTCTCTTCCTCCTCACCAAATGGTACTCACTTGGCTTGGAACTAGGTGCTTTCCCAGGAAGCGGGAACACCCAGGCTCCTTGAACAGCTAAGGCTAATAGTATCAGCACTGGCATGCACATGGATACATCTTCCTACTTCCCAGTACACGTGGTTCCATGAAGTCAGTCTCACTGCCCCAACATCCCACTTTCACGACGCAGTTCTCAAAACTGTGAACTTCTAAACAAACTCCTTTTCCCTCCTTTTGTCCCACAGTCGTGGGATGTTGGAAAGTGACTGTGGCTGATTTTTCACCCGGGGAAGTCCATCTGGATTCCAGTCATCAATGCACCCTGTACTAGCTCTGTGGCTTCTGGCACAAAGTTGAAGCTTTTAGAAACGTGAACCAATTTCAACCTCTGCTTCTTCATCTGTCCTGTGGGTTTATGACGAGGATGAAATGAGTTCACAGGCAAAGCAGACTGCAAGCTCTGGGTAAGCGCTAATCACCGCCCGTTGCCACTGTCACCGTTACTGCTAACACAACACTACTACGGCTTTGGAGCCAGCTCCCACAGCTATCTGAATTCATGAGCGACAATGACTTTCCTTAAAAAGACCATTCTCAGTCCAGATGTCCCCAAATGCCTACCAACTGTTTGCACCAGGATGCCTTCATGCCTTCCAAATGATGGGGGACTGGGGGCTCTTCTCTGGTTGTCTGTGGCTGCCTGTTGTGCCTTCGTGGCTCCTGGCCGGACAGCCCACCGTCCCTGTCAGCCTGGGCCAGCCCAGGTGTACAAGGACATCTCCGGTTTCTGCATAGCTTTTCTGTAGCTTCCTTTTCACTCTCAGAAGCACCGTGGTTTGAGCGTCACTTGTTTCACTTGGACTTTCTGCTCTAGGCAGTAAACCCATCACCCGCAGTTCCCTTGCTCTGACCTTCCAGCTCTGCCCCAGGAATGCTGTCCTCAGAGCATTGCCAAAACCCGAACTTTCTCTCCTCCCAAATCCTACTGGGAACTCAGCCTCAGGAGGGAACTTCCTCTGATAATCCTGCCCTCCACCCAAGAACCCTTTCAGCAACCATGTAAATAACCCTGTATAACTTTAATTGGCTCTGTTTATAAGCTGCTTCTTGTATCTTTTCCCCCCCTCTAGGTATTTTTCCATGTGTTAATCCTGTCTCTATTAATTTGTAAACTCCCAGAGGGCAAGGCCTGAACCCAGGCTGGTGTTGGCATCAACTGGATAGACGGGTACAGCTGAACTGAAGACAGGGCCATCCCTCTTGGCTACTAACCTGCTTTTTTTAATATTTATTTTTTTAAGCAGCCTTTGTTAGCAATTTGTCAGTGTTGGTCCTCAGACTGCTAACCCAGCGCAAAAATACAACCAGTTTCTATTAAGGTCCAAACAGGATCAAACCCACAGTCCCAAGGTCTCCACACTGTTAGAGGGAGGGTGTGCGACTCATTCTAACCCACCTGGGGGTCTCAGCGTGTCGGTGTGCAGCTCACTCGTCCCTTCTTCTAGGCTGCTCTGAGACGGGACTAACGCTCACTTTCAACACCGAGATCTGAAAGCCGAACAAAGCCCTCGGAAGCAGGCACCACCACCATATTCTAAGTTTGTGGTGTGAGTGAGGCGGGGCGGAGGTTGGGGAAGATGACTTTAAGCTCATTTTTCAGTCCTAACACATGGCACAGGGGCCCGTTCCGCAGGGCCAGGAGCTGGGCGGAGAGTCCACTTGCAGCGCAGGTAACAAAGGCGAGCCGGGCGGATGCGGCCGGGTCCCCGCGGCGGCAGGGGCTCGCGCCTCGGGCCACCTGCTCTCCGCGCGCGGGGCGCGGGCGGGCTGCGCGCTCGGCTCCCGGAGCCGAGCCCCAGGTAGAAACCCGCGTAGGCGGTGCGCGCGATAAGATCAAAGCCCCGGGCCCGGGCCGGCGAGCGAGCGGGGGCCGGGGCCGGCGAGCTGGCGGGCGAGGCGCCTCCCCCGAGCGCTTCCTCTCACGCCCACTTCCAGCCGAGGGGAGGCTTCGGGTGTCTGCTTTTGTTGTTTTTAAAAAATTAAAAGTTGAAGCCTCGGAGGAAAGACTTTGGCTGTGGCCGTTGTGGGTAAGTTCTGGTCCCTGTTCTTTTGTCTGGCGCCGAGCTTGGCAGGAGCCCGGGCGTGGCGGGGGGCAGAGCGGGCAGCGCGTGTGGGGATGGTTTCTGTCGCCAGGTCGCCCTGGGGAGGGCGGAGGGGGGAGGAGGGAAGGGAGGAGCAGGGGGGAAGGAGGAAGAGGGGAGGAGGGGGAGGAGCAGGAGGGGAGGAGGAGGAGGGGAGGAGGAGAGGAGGGAAGAGGGGAGGAGGGGGAGGAGGAGGGGAGGAGGGGAGGAGGGAGAGGAGGAGGAAGCAGGGAGAGGAGGAGGAGGGAGAGGAGGAGGGAGAGGAGGAGGAGGGAGAGGAGAAGAGAGGAGCAGGGAGAGAAGGAGGAGGGGAGGAGAGGGGAGGAGGGAGAGGAGGAGAAAGGAGGAGGGAGAGGAGGAGAAGGGGAGGAGGGAGAGGAGGGGAGGGGACTCGGCCGCCGGACGGGGAAGCCCAGCGCGCGCCCCGGCTGCAGGGCGCAGGGCCGAGGGGAGGGCCGGGCGGCGTGACCCGGCGGCGGCCGGGGAGGAACCTCCGGGATCTCCGCGTGGCGGCGGCGGCGGCGGGCGGGCGCTCGGGGCCGCGCGCTGGGCGGAGGGCCGGGGCCGCGGGGCCGCGCCAGGGGGGAGCCCGAGAGGAGCCCGGGCCGGCCGCCGCGTGGGAACCCAGGCCGCGGGGCGGGCGCGGACGTGCTGCCCACCGACTGCCCTCCGCAGTCCCCTCACCCCAGCGGGGGCGGGTAGGGGTGGAGCTTTGGGAGCCCCGAGCGGTCCCTGGCCACCTGCATTTGTTCCCCGGGTTTTGACAGTTCGGACGGCAGTCGCCCATTCACTTGTCCACTGCGGTTCCAATGACGTCTTCTCCACATTCCGCTTGTTTTGGGAGGCTCCACTGCTTTGCCAGGAAGTCCATGCAAGCTACTTTATAACCTAGCTGGGCAGTTTTTCTTTCCTGATACTTACGGATTGAGAGTTGTAGAATTAAGAAAATAAATTGCATTTAGAAAATTAGAAGACGTCCTAGGAGGCTGTTCAGTGGTGTGTGTGCATTGCAAAGCCAACTTGAACGTCGGCTTGCTGCCCAGGAGAACGAATTGAGAAGGCGAAATTAACCTCTGATAATTCGAAGTTGTACGTGTGGGTTGCTAAGAAGTTCAGGGCAGTGCTCAGTCTCTAATAAACACGGTGCTCACGGTGGATATCTGTGTGGTGCTGGGCAAGGCTGGATCGGTTTGCGTTTTTAACCTCCCAGATTACCAGCTCGCCTCTCTATCCGGATTCTCCACCCCGACTGCCAGGCTGCACTTTCTCATTTGAGAGCATGGTTGTTTTTGGATTCAAACCGCCCAGGTGGGAAGTTGCCCTCGTCTGCTATCGCATGGAAAATTAAAACTGCCTATTTCAATGTAGGCTCAGAGCATCTAGAGGTCATTGAAAACGGACTCATGTGGACGATCCTCGCTCCTACCAGCAAGTCTACTTTTTTTTTTTTTTTTTTTTTTTTTAGCAAGCACATTTCTCCTTTTCCGTAACATTCTTTGTGGCTACAAGATCGCCCATTACTGAGTATTCCATTTTTAATCACCTCCACTCCGGCGCTCCGAGCTTTCCTTAGGATTTCCCTGGTCAGCCTCTGCAGGAAGGAACCTAGACGCCTTTGTGGAAGCCCAGGGGCGCGCAGATGGCCCGGCTGTTTTAGTGGCTGTATGGCCGTCAGCGTTTTTTAATTCCTTAAAAGGGGAAAACAGTTTGGTTATTACTTTTTTTTTTTTTTAAGCATCCAGTTTTCTGCTTTACCACCACTGCTGCTAAGTTCAGGGCGGCTGGCTAAGCCACTTTTGCCTGCTTCTTTGGGTGTAGCGTGGGGTCTCTGAGCCCCAGACTCCTAGCATTCTTTGGGTCTGAACCCCGAAAACCGGCTTCGCTAGCCGCCTCTCGCAGAGGTCCCCCACGGCGCTCCAGCAGCCGGGGTCCCCAGCGCTGGTTCCTCGGAAGGGCTCCTCGCTGCCCTCCCTGGAGCTGCGCGCGCGGCTTTCCGGCCCCCAAGGTCCGCGCCCCCAGCCCGCACGGGCTGGGAGGGGTTAATCGCGCTCGCAGCGCCGGCCCCGGGAAGCACCCGCGGGCCCGGGAGCGGCCTGTGGAATAACCTTGGCTTTCCTCTCTCTTTTAATAGAACATCCGCCACCCCGGCGCGGTTTCGGTTCAGGGTTAAGCGCACGCCGCCTTTCCACCCTCTACACCGGCTCCCCGCCCCCTCCCGCTCTGTGTGTTTTTTTTCCTCTTAAAGTTGTTTTTCAAAGTTAATGAGTTTCGAGTTTCACAATGATTTTCCCCAACCCTCCACGCGTTGCTGAGGAAACCCCCTTGGGGTCCCCCCCCCCGCCTCCCCATCTCCCGGGCCTCCCCCTCCCCCAGTCGGCCCGGGCGAGGGGCGGGGCTGGGAGACCCCATGACGTCACCGGGCCGGCCCACATCCTGCTTCCGAAAGTAGAGAGACGGTAAAGAGAAACTACGGCCCCGCCCGGCCCCGCCCCCCTTCCCGGACCAACCGCCCCCCGACCGACCGCGCGCCCCGGCCCCCGCCCGCGCCCGTCCCCCCGGCGGCGGCGCGACCCCGGCTCCCGCCCCTCCCCCGCGGGCCCCCCTCCGGTCCCTGCGGCGGGTGGGCGGCCGGGGGCCGGCCCCGCCGCCGGGGAGACCCGGGACCCCCGGCTGCACGCCCGGGGCCCCGGGGGCCGAGCGAGCGAGCGAGCGAGCGGCCGCGCCCGCCCAGCGGGGTGTTCCCCGCCCCTCCCCGCCCCGCGAAGCCCCCTCCCCGCCTCCGCCCCCGGGGATCCCCTGCCGCCCCGCCCACCCGCGGGAAAGCCTCCGACCTTCGCCCTGCCTCCCCCGCGCCGCCGGGCCCGCGCGCCTCCCGCCGCCCCCCAGAGACGCTAAAGGCGCCCTCCTGTGCCCCCGGGGAGAGGTAAAGCCCGCGCCCGCGCGCCCCCCGCCCCCGGCCCGCGCCCCGGCTCGGGATTTCGGCGCCGGGCGGTGCGAGCGCCGGTCGCCGGCCTTCGGCGTGGCCTGTGCCGGGCGGGCGGCGGCCGCGCGCGGGGAGGGGCCGCGGCGGGGCCGGGGGGAGCCCGCCGCAGCCCGCGGAGGTCATGTTTGTGTTTGGGGTTGTCAAGTGAAGCCGGGCTCGCGGGCGCCCTCGCCGCGCCGCGCGGGGGTCGCGGAGGTCCCGAGCCGCGGCTGCCGCCATCAGCGGCGCAGCCCCGGGGCCGGCTGCAGCGGCCGCGGCTCCGCCGGGCGTCCAGGCAGCAGGTTGGGTGCCGGCTCCGCGGCCAGGGGCGCTGCAGCCGGGGCGGGCGGGCGGGGGGCTCGCGCGCGCGCGTGCGTGTGTGTGTGTGTGTGTGCAGCCGCCGACCTTGCAGAGGGGATGCGTGCGTGCGTGCGGCGGGCACTTGCCACTTCTGCGGCCCGGGCTGCGGTCCTGCGAGCCGAGCAGGTAACGGGGGGACCCAGCCTCCCCCGGCCCCCTACCCCAGCCGCAGCCGCGTTGTGCAAGGGTGTGTGCGCGCGGGGGGGGGGCGGTGTGCGGGAGAGACCAGGCCTCGGCTGCCCAAACCTCTCGATTTGGTGGCTCGCTTTCCCTTTCGTTCCTTTTTTTTTTTTTTTTTTTGGCTCGCAGTGCCTGTGCAGTCCCGGCCACCTGGGGTAGTTTCTTTCCGGGTTGGGAGCGCGCGCCTGCAGCTGTTGGGGCCGGGGGCGGCGGGTCGCGGCGCGGGGCGAGGGCGGCGCGGGGCCGCGGTCCCCGCCCGCGCCCCGCAGCCGGCTCGGGGCTGCTTCCCGAGCCGGCACCTCCATTCCCCCCTCCTCCTAGCAGGCGCTGCGCTTTGTTCCGCGCAGCGTCGCGAGGGGTTTTCCCAGGCTCCGCCCTCCACATTCATTCATGTTTTTCCTCCCGGCGACTGTCTGTACGCGTCTTGATCGTGCCATGGTTTTGCTCCTTGCAGCGTGTGCGTGTGCCTGTGTGCCGGGGAGAGGGCCGGCCGCCTCGGGGCTGCGGGCTCTGGAAGTGCCCACTTGCCCGCGCCAGGGTTGAGCCGTGGGGTGGGCAGCGGCGGGCCGTGACGGATCGGGGATTTGCATATTTTACGCGTGTGCCCCGGATCCCGGGCGGTCACGTGCCCGGGCTGCAGTCGGAGTTCACGCTTTGGAAACTTGGGCTCGCCGTGGTCGGGGGTGCGCTCAGCTCGCGCGGGCCTCTGGTGCCTGCATTCGCCGTAGCATCAGGGTCTCTCTGAATGCGGTAGCGGGTGTTTTTCTGCAGGAGCCACCACTTCTCCACGGTGCTGGATGAGCGGCGTAGTTATTGGACCGTCATTTTTCATATGCAGTTTAAAAAAAAAAACGCGTGCAGTTAGAAATGCAAATATTTGCTTGCCGTGCTGACAGGGAGCCCTATCAGGAATCAAACACAGAGGTTGACGGTGGCCTGAATTCCTCCTGTTTGGTTGCTGTAATGGAACTCGCTGTAGGATAGGAGATGCGTTCCTGGCCCTGGAGGCTCTCCTAAGGAGAATCGATCCGTCCGCACTCCTGTGTGGCAGGCGAAAACACCCACGCCGGGTTAGTTTGCTCCTCCCAACAGCCTTCTGAGAGGTGGCTAGCGTTTCCTGGTTGAACGGTTGAGAAATCGGATCTTCAGAGAGGTTAGGTATCTTGAACAAGGCCACAAAGCCTGGCTTTGAACCCCGGCTGATTTGACACCAAAATATGTTGTCCTGGCTTGTGTCGGGCATTGTTGGGGCAGCCTCTTGGAAAAATCCCCGGGAGGAGGCGGGCTCTTTCATCATCATCTCCAGTGAGGAGGAAGCAGTTCTGGGAGTCCCTGGGGCAGGGGGCCGGAGCTTAGATGTGGACTCTCCCGTGTTGTTTTCTTTTTTAACTTATAAAACAGGCACAGGGTAGCTGCTTTCTCAGCTCTTGTCAGAATGAACATAGGTAACCCCCGGGGGAAGTACTCAGACTCAGAATAAGAGCTCAGCGTCGCCTCTGTTGGCTTCTACAGTTGCTTCTGCTTCTTCACAAAAGTCCTGAAGAAGCATTTCTCTTCCATTCCCGTGTTTGCTTAGCGATTAAACATTGTTTCGTGTTTAAAGTCAACTTAATGGGCTTTGCTTATGCTTATCGGCTTTATTGCAGGAAGTTAAAAACTAAAATTGAGACATTTGAAAGCTGACTTGGGAGTGGGTGATTTTTCTTTTTTTTTCTTTCTTTTTTTTTTCTTTTTTTTCTTTAACGTGTAAGCCAGGACAGATGAGGGTGTGCTGCAGTGACAAAACAGTGACGTCTGTCCTTTCTTCTGCTGCATGGCCATCTGGGGTTAAGGGGGCCCAGCTCCGTGTTGCTGAGGATGGGCAGTGCCGGTGCCACGCGTGGCGGAGGGGGAGGGGAGCTCTGAGGATTTTGCTTCCATGACAGAAGTCTCCAGGCCACCAGCCTGGCTGGTCTCTGCCACTTAGTGAGGCACAGGAAGGCTGAATGTGGGGTCCTCCCATGAGCCCACAGGGGAGAGCCGGGGAAGCCGCAGAGCAGCCGGAACAGCGGCCACTCTATTAACTGAACTCAGAAAGCAGGAGAGCCGGCTCCGGCCCCTGCGCTTGTGAATGGGCAGGTGTACCTGAGACAGCAGAGTCTTACTTTCGTCCTACCTGGTAGTGCGATTTGAAAATACAAAGTGAATTCTTTCACTCGCATCTCAGGAAGGTGGTGATTTTTGTTTTCTGTATTCTCAGCGAGAAGGGCCGCCTTTTGGGAGCTGAGCTCTGTGCTGTTTAATTGAAAGTTAGTAAACTTCTGAAGGATCTGAACTTGGATACTTTTGCTTGAGTTTCCATAAGGCTGTGTTAAGTTGTAACTGTTAATGTATCTTTTTCCTTTGAAGTTGGTAAAATATGCTTCCTGTTTTTTTTTTCTTTTCAGCGCATGGATTAATTGATGTACAAAGTTTATGGAGCCATCTTTTGTAACCCGTTCTTGGTACAGTTTGTAAACACAACAAGGAGCCCCTGAATCAAAGAAGATGCCTCGAACAAAACAGATTCACCCTAGAAATCTACGAGGTAAGTCTGGGAGTGGGTGTTTGATGGAGAGGCTTTTTGGGACAGGAATGGCAGCTTGCTGGACATTGACCCTGCTTCCTGGCCAGCCCTCCCTCTCTCTCGTTCATGTTCACTTACCCTGCACACGTCCTGTCACTTAGGAGATACTCAGGGAGGGTCTGTTGAATGAATGAATTACATTTGACAGAATTATAGCGCCTTCCCAACTTCTCGATGCGAGTAGTAAAGGCAGAGAGAGACTTGAGTGTTTCTTGCCAGGAAAGATGTTTGGATCAAGGAATCGGAAGTGATTGTTGCAAGTCTGTGCCAGTTGGATACCAGGAACTTGGTGGTTTTTTTTTTTTCACTTCCACCCACACATACTTACTTCTTTTGAGATTTGTGTCTGGACTGCTTTATAAGTTAAATCAACAAGACAAGAAGTGGAGAGAATTGTAGGTGACATTTACTCAGGTCATTGTGTGCAGAATTCCGAAGCAAACTGAGAAAGCAGTGGGTCAGAAACATGTGAATAATGTATATTTCAGACAAAGACCGAAACGGGAGTGTTTCCCTCTGAGATGTGAAGAGGTGTCTTCATATTAGAAAAGTAAACATACTAGCTTGTTTGTTTAAAAAGATTTGAATTGTTCTCACGCATTTTATCAACTGGGACTAGCAATTATCTTTTACATGTAACTTGAGTAGATAAACATGTAGCAGTGCTAAGCAAAGAATTATTGAAGCAAATTATTTCAAACTGATAAAGTCATTTATGAACTGCGGTCACATGTTACCTAATGACAGGGCTGCATTCTGTGCAAACATTGCGGAGTGCACTTGCACAGACGTGGATGGGTGGCACAGAGCCCTCCCTGCACCTGGTGGCGTGTCACTGTACCGAGTACCTGAGACAGTTGTCATACAGTGGTGTTCAGTGTCTGCATGGACTAAGAGTGCAGAAACAATACGGTGTAAAAGGTAGGTCATGGGACACCTGTGTGGGACGCTTACCGTGCATGGAGCTTGCAGGACTGGAAGTTGCTCTGGCTGAGTGAGTGGACGTGACGGCCTAGGCCACACCTGGTCCCTGCTGTAGACTTTATAAACACTGCACACTGAGTCCACACCACATTTATTAAAGTTTTTCTTCAATAATAAGGTTTCCTTAGCTTACTCTTAAGTTTTTTTTTTTTTTTAAGATTTATTTATTTATTTGAGAGGTGCAGTTACAGAGCGAGAGAGGGAGAGACAGAGAAAGAGGTCTTCCATCTGTTGGTTTGCTCCCCAAATGGCCGCAACAGGCAGAGCTAGGCTGATCCAAGGCCAGGAGCTTCTTCCAGCTCTCCCACATGGGTGCAGGGACCCAAGCATTTGGGCCAACTCCCGAGGCTTTCTCAGGCCTTAGCAGAGAGCTGAATCGGAAGAGGAGCAGCCCGGACACAAACCAGCGCCTGTATGGAATGTGGAGGCTCAGCCCACTGTGCCCTGGTGCTGGCCCCACGGTTAAGTTTTTAACTCTTGTAATAATACTGAGCTTAAAATGAAATGCATTGTATAGCTGGACAAAAATATTTTCTTTATAGCATTATTCTTTAAACATTTTTCTATATAAGCACTTGTATATTTCCTTACTTGAAAGGCAGAGTTGCAGAGAGAGGAGGAGTGAGAGCAAGCATTTTTCCATCCGCTGATTCACTCCCCAAATGATTGCAACTGCCAGGGCTGAGCCAGGCCAAAGCCAGGAGCCCAGAATTTCATCTGGATCTCCCACCTAGGTGGCAGTAGTGCAAGCACTTGAACCATCTTCCACTCCTTCCCTGGGCACATTAGCAGGGAGCCAACTCAGAAGTAGAGCAGCCTGGACTCGAACCAGTGCCTGTTTGGGATGCTGGCATTGCAGGTGATGCCTTAGCCCGCTGTGTCACAATGCCAGCCCCACTTTAAGCATTTTTAGAAATGTTTAAATGTTTTTGCTATAAAACTAAGACACAAACACGCACATTAGCCTAGACATACACGAGATGCAGATCGTCAGTCAATATTCTTCCACCTCTGCGTCTTGTTCCACTGCAAGGGCTCCGGGGCAGGTGGCCTCATGGAGCTGCCATCTCCTGTGTTGACACTGCCTTCTTCTAGAATGCCCCTGGAGGACCTGTCTCAGGCCATTTTGCAGTGATTTTTTTTGTTGTTGTTAAATAGAAGGAATGCATTCTAAGATAATGATTAAAGTGTGTAGTATAGTGAGCGTACAAATCAGTAAGGTAGTTACTCATAATCATCCAGTATTACGTACTCTAAGTGGTTGCACATGCGTAGCGTAGTATCACTGGCAGGGTGGTAGGGCTGTGTGCACCAGCCTGACACAACTGGACACATTTAATCACACTGTGTTGCAGTGGTTGGGTGCCTATGGTGTCACAAGCATAGCATTTGTCCAGCCTGTTCTAATCTTTAGCGACCTCCATCATGTTGTGTGGCCTTTTGTTGCCTGACACATTGTTTCGTGGCACAAGACTTTTCATTTTAGAAGTTTTTTCCAGGGGCTGGTGCCGTGGCTCACTTGGTTAATCCTCCACCTGTGGTGCTGGCATCCCCTATAGGTGCCCGGTTCTGGTCCCGACTGCTCCTCTTCCAGTCCGGCTCTGTGCTGTGGCCCGGGAGGGCAATGGAGGATGGTCCAAGTGTTTGGGTACCTGCACCCACATGGGAGACCAGGAGAAGCACCTGGCTCCTGGTTTCGGATCAGCGTGGTGCGGATCAGCGCAGCGGCCACTGTGGGGGTGAACCAACAGAAAAGGAAGACCTTTCTGTCTCTCTCTCTCATTGTCCACTCTGCCTGTCAAAAAAATAAATAAATAAAAAATAAAAAACAAAGCCTCCACATCTCAAAGTACCAGCGGAGCCCTGGACCCTGATTTTGCAGCTCATCCATCCAGGGCAGGGGTCCTGTTCCGGTTTGCACAAAACTCAGCAAGCAGCCGGACAGCCGCTTGAGCCAGCTAATGTGAGCCCAAATATTTGTTGAAGTAACGAACACAGGTTTGACCTGAAAGTATTACTCATTAAGTCGTGGCGAGCAAACACTTCGCATATTTGAAATATATGCATGTCGTGGGGTGCATCGCATACAGGAGCACTTGCCGTCACGTCCCAAGTCTGCTCTCCATTCAGCCTTCTGCGCTCTGGGAGGCAGCAGGCAGTGGTTCAGGTGGTTGGATCCCCGCCACCCTTGTGGGAAGCCTGGATTGGGTTCCCCGCTTCTGAGTTTGGGTTGCCCAGCCCTGGTTGCTGTGGTCATTTAGCATGCAAGAGATCTCTGTTTTGTTTGCCTTTCAAATAAAATTTCTAAAAGTTTGTAAGAGATAGATAGATAGATAGATATACGCTCTTTAATCTTGTAGATAAAATGGCTGTCCTGAGAAATACCCATTTTCAGACCAGAGCGTCTGCTTTCGGTATCAGATGTCCAAGTCGGCAGACGTTTGCTGGATGTGTTTATGCTCCGCTGTTCTAGGTGGCAGGGATACAACAATAACAAAGCACAGACCTTGGAGGAGTAGGGGTCGGGAGGGCGCGGGTAAACTGGTGAGCCTCAGGGCAGAGGTGCTGAGAGCCCACGGGGACGGGGGATGGGGGATGGGGGATCATTTCTTGTCCACTCTGTGGTGGCTGGGAGGAGGAGAAGTGGCATCTGAGCTGGGCTTATAAGGCCGGGAAAGGATCCCAGGCGCTGAGTAGCAGGACGGAGCGTGTTTCACCCCAGGGCTGGGGCCGGGGCCGGGGCCAGGGCTAGGGTTGCAAGGGCCTGGGTACTCCCGGCTGCTCTGCTCAGCCCACAGGGCCGGGGCGGGGGGCATCAGAAGTTCTGTCCAGGGAGAGACAAGGGCAGGGGCTTGGAGTAGGAGAGTCAGGAGGAACCTGATCATGAGTGGTCCATAAACTGTGAGTCTACATTTAGGATGAGGAATTCAACTTTTCTTTTTTTTTTTTTTTCTTTTTTTTTATTTTATTTATTTATTTGAGAAGCAGAGTTACAGACAGTGAGAGAGGTCTTCCTTCTGTTGGTTCACTCCCCAGTTGGCCTCAATGGCTGCAGCTGCACCGATCCGAAGCCAGGAGCCAAGAGCTTCTTCCCAGTCTCCCACGTGGGTGCAGGGGCCCAAGAACTTGGGCCATCTTCTACTGCTTTCCCAGGCCATAGCAGAGAGCTGGATGGGAAGAGGGGCAACCAGGACTAGAATCGGTGTCCATATGGGATGCCGGCACTGCAGGCTAAGGATTAACCTACTGTGCCTTGGCGCTGGCCCCGAATTCAATGTTTTAATAGGAAAAGCTGCTGTTTTCAGGGGAAATTTGGAATAAATTGGGTTCTAGCCCTTCAGTGAGAGTCCTCAAAGTTGCTTGACTATGGCACTTAGGGGTGGTTAGCCCTTAAAGAAAAGGTCAGAGTAGGTGGGCTCTACAGGCAGACTGAGGCTGGGTCAGTTGGGAGCAGGGACCGCCCATGGGGGAGTGAGGAGGACTTCCTGGAAGAGGGGGGGTCTCTGAGCCACTTGAACTCACTCAGCAGGGGTGATTGGGAGTGAAGCTTCTGGCTCCAGCTGGGCAAATCTGGATCAGCAGAGGCAGGCAGGAGAAGTTACGAAGGTGTAGAACCTTCAAGTTGCCATTCAGGGTCTGTAAGTGTGGATGAGGGTGCTGTCCGGGAGGAGTTTGAGGGTAGAGAGGGCAGGTGAGTGCTGGCTGGAGAAGCCAGTGCTTCAGCACAGTGTTTCTATCGCCCTGTGAGCATGTGCAGTACCAGGCTGGTTTTCTCTCCCTGTGCCTGCTGCCTGGGCCCGACGAAGACATCTTTCATACACCACATGTGAAATGGGGAGAGAGAAATCAGACAGGCAGGCAGGGGCCCGAGGCAGCCTGCTCACTCTGCTGCTGCCGCCGCCTTAACAGGTTCCACAAAACCCGTCACCACTTCTTTTTTTGTTTGTTTTAAAGATTTATTTATTGGAAAGGCCAAGCTACAGAGAGGTAGAGGCAGAGAGTGAGGGACCAAGAGAGAGGTTAGTCTTCCATCTGCTGGTTCACTCCCACAGTGGCTGCAGTGGCCAGAACTATGCCGATCTAAACCCAGGAGCCCGGAGCTTCTTCCAGGTCTCCCATGCAGGTGCAGGGGCCCAAGGACTTGGGCCATCTTCCACTGCTTTCCCAGGCCATAGCAGAGAGCTGGATAGGAAGTGGAGCAGCCGGGACTTGAACCAGTGCCCATAGGGGATGCCAGCACTGCAGGCGGTGGCTTTACCTGCTATGTCACAGCGCCTTCCCCCATCACTGCTTCTTAAGCTCCCTTAGAAAATAGCGTGAGCGTTATGTGTCCCTCCCGTGCTTGACAATGAAGTCATCATTAAACAAGACTGGTATCTTAAAAAAATCTCAGATGATATGTTCATTGTGCTTGCTCGGCAGTTTTAACTCTTGAAATACCACCTTGGAATGGTGTGTGGTAGATCATTCCACTGGAGCAGGTCTGCAGGGTGGGGGATAAGCACACGTCTCTGTGTGCGGTGTGAATGTTCCACGGGGGAACGTGCGTGGACACAGGCACGTGTGGATATGTGTGCATAGATGCGTGTTAAAACACTGGGTGTAACAAGTTCAGTTATGGGGTCTGTCATAGAAGAGTTTAAAGTTCATGTGGATTGCAGGCTGTGCCCCAAAGGGAAGTGGAATTTATGCTTCCTGCTCTTAAGAGGTTTCTAAGTAGAACAGTAGGAGAAGTAGAATAGGAGGAGAGGAAATCAGTTTGGGGCATGCATGAGGCAGAGTCAGACCTGACCCATGACCTGTACGCTTTGGGGGGGCCTGGCATTCCGTTCAGTCTCTCCTTGGCCGTGGAACTGGGAGAGGACCATTGTCTTTGATTTCTGTGTCGCTTTAGCACGGTGCAGGTGGGTGGAGTGTTAAGGCTGAGCTATCCTTGG